AAAAAAAAAAAAAAAAAAAAAAAACTCATAGATGACACAAACAAATGGAAACCTCCCATTCTCATAGATGGGTAGAATCAATATTGTGAAAATAACCACACTACCAAAAGCAATCTAAAAATTCAATGCAATTCCCATCAAAATACCATTTTCATTCTTCACAGAATTAGAAAAAACAATTCTAAAATTCATATGGAACCAAAAAAGAGCCAGTGTAGCCAAAGCAAGACTAAGCAAAAAGAACAAATCTGGAGGCATCACACTACCTGATTTCAAACTGTACTAGAAGGCCATAGTCACCAAAACAGCATGATACTGGTATAAAAATAGGCACTTGGACCAATGGAACAGAATAGAGAACCCAGAAATAAACCGAAATACTGTGCTTACAGCCAACTCATATTTGGCAAAGCAAACAAAAACACAAAATGGAGAAAGGACACCCTTTTCAACAAATGGTGCAGAAATAATTGGCTAGCCACATGTAAGACAATGAAACTGGATTCTTGTCTCTTACCTTACACAAAAATCAACTCAAAACACATTGAGGACTTAAATCTAAGACCTGAAACTATAAAAATTCTAGAAGATAACATTGGATCCACCCTTCTAGACACTGGCTTAGGCAAGGATTTCGTTAGCAAGAATCCAAAAGCAAATGCAATAAAAAGAAAGATAAATGGCTGGAACTTAATTAAACTAAAAAGCTTTTTCACAACAAAAGGAATAGTCAGCAGAGTAAACAGACAACCCACAGAGTGGGAAAAAATCTTTACAATCCATATGTCTGACAAAGGACTAATGTCCCAAATGTAGAATGAACTTAAAAAAATCAACAAGAAAACAAACAAACAATCCCATCAAAAAGTGGGCTGAGAAAATGTCTAGACAATTCTCAAAAGAAGATATATGCCTTTTCCCCCCCCAGCGCTGCTGGGCCCGCAGGTCTCTGTTCCTTAGGATGGGGTTTGTTAAAGTTGTTAAGAATAAGGCCTACTTTAAGAGATACCA